TTAGATCAGATGAGCCACCTCCAACTGTAGGAGAATCCAGGGAGATGGCCTGTCTCCCTGACATCCCAATCCCAAAATTTTCAGGAAATCATTCAGCCTGGCCAATGTACAAGTTATCTGTTTCAATCTATAATTCTAAAGAGCAGCAAATTAAGTGATGCACAAAAACTACATTATTTATGAACATCACTTGAAGGTCTAGCAGCAAGAATTATATCAAGCATATCTTTATAGAACCCTCCCTCGCCATTGCCTTGAAAAAATTGACAAAGAAGTACAACTCCCCTCGACTGACTCTTAAATCCCACCTACAACTACTCCTCACCACCTCAACACCAATCATAAAAACAGCCCCTGAAATTGAAAAATTAGTGAACAAGATAAGTGATATACTGGAAGCATTGATGTTATTTGATATCCCGAATGCATGGGACTACATGGCAGTCCGCCTAGCTTTGAGACAATTTGATAACAACACAAGAACTGAGTGGGAACGATCACTCTGTGACTCCATCTCGTATCAAAAATTTGCACAATTAAAATCCTTCTTGATGGCGCAAGTGACTGCACTAAACTATGTAGATGAACTTAAGGAGCCATGGGGTCCATCCCAGACTCAACCATCAATCTATAAACCGGTAAGGGTGTGTCAGTCCTTCATAAGGACTGACTACAAGAGCACTCACACTCCAACCAACCTATACTAGAAAAATGCAACAACTGCCAGAAAGACCGTGCACTAACGGCATGTAAAAAATTTGAAGAATTGTGAATTAACGAATGGAAGGTCTTTGCAATGGAACGCCGTTTGTGTTTCAACTGTCTGAAGACCCACTTCTGGAGATTATGCACGAACTAACCATGTTGCCTGAATGATCAGAAACGGTACCACTCAATGTACACGAGGAATAATGCCTTACTTCAACAAATTGCAATTCATCATCGTCATCACACATAAAATGACTAAACCGAGCAATCGTCAACTCACTCAGGCGAGGATCATTAGCAACTCTATTGGTCGCTGTCTTGGTTAAATTGATGGCATCATCAACCACATTACAAGTCGTCTCCTAATCGTCACTGGTTCGGAAATCACGCTCGTTACTGAGAATTTGGTAAGTAAGCTTAACACAACACAACAATCTACCGTCCTTATCTATGGAATTGGAGGATCCTTATCAACTCAGGTACAAGGTTCTGTATATCTTACTCTTCAGTCAACTTATTCAACTTCCTCAATCACAGTCACTGTTCATATCCTTAAGTCATTGACAATACTACTTCCGTCCTACAACACACCGCGACGTACTTGACCACACCTACAGGTTCTAACCTTAGCTGACCCAGAATTATACTAAACCAAGACCAGTGGACAATGTCCTTGGAGCGGACCAATATGGACAAATTATTAAACCCAACATTATTAAAAACTCCTCATCCATGCCCATAGTTCAACTATCCATCTTCGGATGGCGAGTGGTTGGCCCTATCAGTGAGAAAACCACGACAACAGCATCAGTTCTCACGTCCACCCAGGAACAAGAAGACCTATCCAAATTATATACCTGTCAATTCTCAACTCCATTAACAAGAATGTTGCCTTTGTGTGCTCCAAAACCAAGGTAAATCCACTCAAGTAAATCAGTGTCCCCAGGTTGGAGTGGCAGCCGCCCTACTACTATCCAAACTTACGTTATATGTCAAGACCACACGGAGCATGAATGTAAAGGCAATATACTTATGGACGGATCCTCGGATAATCCTAACATGGATTAAATCTCATGCATCAAGATGGAAGGAATTCGTTTGCAATAGGGTCACTCAAATTCAGGAACTTACTTAAGATGCATAATGGAAATATGTGCTCGGCACATCGAACCCTGCAGATTGCGCCTTCCGAGGCTAACGACTAGTCAACTTCAAGATCACTCACTATGGTGGACTGAACCACTATGGATAAATTCACCTCTGACTCTTGGCCAACACAGCCTAAACAAAGTGATGAACAATGCGAACAAGAAACTCACCTTGGCGTTTCATTAATGGCCACAATTCACAAGTCAGACTATCACTGGGACATTATTCGCAAATACTCATCACTCAAGAAGTTATTGAGGCTAACTGCCCTATATTTCAGATTCCTTGCACGGCTGAGAAGAAAGCATGAGTCACCTTCAATCGACCAATTAATCCAAATGGACTTAGAACAAGCAAGAAATTATTGGATAAAGGAAACTCAAGCCGTCTACTTTTCCCATAAATTAAAATTACTATACGCTTCCCACCACACATACATTTCATCGACTTACAGCATACATCGATGCACAAGGAATCATTAGAGTCGATGGAAGACTAATGAACGCATCGATAATGAGAGAATACAAGCACCCGGCCATCTTGCCAAGAAAATCACAATTTTCCAATCTTATCATTGCTCACGCCCATCTCAGAACCCTTCACGGAGGTACCCAACTCACACTAGCAAACACCTGCCAACTGTATTGGATTGTTGGAGGACGGTCATCTATGAAATCTTATATATTACGATGTATTATTTGTTCTCGACAAAGAGGAATCCGTGCTCGCCAATTAATGGGTCAACTACTTCTTGCTCAAGTCACGCCTTCTCGACCATTCACCACACTAGTATTGAATACCGGCCCTTTAATCATAAAAACCTGGAAGGGGCGAGATGAAAAGACTCACAAAGCCTGGATTTGCGTTTTTGTGTGCTTAGCTTCAACCACTGTACACTTCGAAGTAGTTAACGACCACACATCAGAAGGATTCATCGCAGCATACCGAAGGTTCTCGATTCGCAGAGGCTTTCCCAATATATTACACTCATATTGTGGTACAACCTTCATCGGCGCGGACAAAGACATAAAGAAGTTATTTTCACAAGGCACAGTAGAATATCATCGAACTGCTATACTAGTCTCTGAAGATAGCGCACGATGGGAATTTAATCCACCTGCGGTACCTCACATGGGAGGAAAATAGGAAGCTGTAAAGAAATCCATGAAATTCTATGTGAAAGACTCAATTGTGGAGACCCTGCTTACCCTCGAAGAAATTATTACTCTACTGTCTCAGATTGAGGCCATCTTAAACTCACGACCCCTAGAGTCATTAATCGATGATCCAGATGACTGCTCCACTCTAATACCAGGCAATTTCCTCACTGGAGATTCTCTTACGACATTACCAGATTCTTCCCTAAATGACTTAGCAATCTCGAGACTATCCAGATGGCAATTTATACAACAGCAGTACAACAATTTTGTTCACAATAGTCAAAACACTACTTACAACAACTAACAACTTCCAAGTGGCATCATCCAGGGAATGATGTTAAGATCGGATCATTAATGCTTATCACGGACCAGCGACTTCATACTTGCAATTGGCCTCATGCCCGAGTTACTGAAATCTATCCTCGTAAGGATGAACTGACAAGAGTGGTCACACTAAAAACAGCTTCAACTACTATTATTAGGCGGTACTGCCAATCCGTGAATAAGAGAATATAAGAAACTGATCATCAAATAAATTGATGATGGCAGGCAGTATGTTCGGGATTAGAACAATTCGAAGAATTTAAAAAAAAAGCTTCCGGACGCTTATGTTTGTAAATATTGATTCTGCGAATTCTTGTAAATTCTCTTCTTGAAAATTCTCGAACCTTTCAAGATAGTGTCCTTTTGGACTTCTCGAACCTTCTGGAGCTTAGTTTCTGACGTCATCAAGACTTTCGACCTAGCAATAAACCCAAGCACTGTTGTCAGCGTTGTCAGCTGCCACACACCTGGGCTCACTGTATCTTTATCTATCATTCAGTCATCAGTTATTGCTCACTGTATTTTTATCAATCATTCAGTCATCAGTTATTGCTCACTGTATTTTTATCAATCATTCAGTCATCAGTTATTGCTCACTGTATTTTTATTAATCATTCAGACATCAGTTATTGCTCACTATATTTTTTCTCAGTTATTATTCAAACTGCCACGAAACTCCGCCCTATAACGGTCTATCAGTTTTACTAATATACCAAACATACTTCCGTCAGACTCAGCAATAATAAAATCGTAAACCAACAGCGTAGCCAAATAATTTATAACTAAGTTAAGTGTCACGGTTAAGCAGTCAAGAGTGGTAACTGCATTTCAAGAATAATTATTAAATACGAAGCGCACCACCTACGCACACCACACACGTGGGTAGGACATTGAACCTCTGTATTTACTATTCAAAAATTGAAAGTAAAAATTGAAACTTGGCAGTATGTGTATTTGCATTCGAAATTTAAACTTTGAAAATTAAATCTTGAAAATGTGAAACGTGACACTTAACATTGAAACTTGAAAATTATAGTTGACACTCGAAGTTGGTGCTATAGGCACTCGAAGAGTCAAACTTGAAACTTGAAAATTAAAACTTCTATATTAAACGTCGCTGTATTCGGGGCTGCTGTCTAGATTCAAGCACTAAGACGTTACTGTTATTGGAGCTGTACTCCAGAATAAGGGTCATACATGGCACTATACAAGGAATGTCAAGGATTTACGTCCTTGCATTTCTCAGTGTAGGAATTTGCACCAAGCGCACTTCAACAAGAGGACCCGGAGCTTTATAACCTTCACCTTGACTTGCAGTGAACGCTATCTCCACGTGAAATCACACAGGAACAGAGATGCCACAAGGTCTCAACACCATCTTTAAAACATATTATTGTGTAGTTTGCATATAAATACAGAGAAAAAATACCAAGTTACATTATGTGTTAAATATTGAATAAAAGCGCCATCCCCTACCACTTTCAACAATTCTCCCAGCGAACATCACTCGGAGTTTTTAGTCTAATCATAGATAATATATTATAATATTTTTATCATCAAAAATTTTAATTTTAGTATTTATACAATTATCGAAAACTTAAACTAGAATACTTATATTCATTACATAATTAATTTTATCTAATCATTTATATTTTTATGAATGAAATTTCTTATATTAAAAATATATAAAATTATCGACGATATCGGTATCTCTTGAAATGAAACCACAACTGGAAAATATTGTTATGAAATTGACAACGAAATCCTCGTTTATATGAATATTCCCATTCACGATTAACAATTTTGAATGCTATGTCTTCATATGGAGGTCCAGCTTTAAATCTAAGAATAGCAAAATCTTTATTATCTGTACATGGAGTCTGAAATAAAAAGTTTATTATGATTATTACCAACTGTGAAAATATCGAGTCATTAAACAATTATATAAATTCAAAATATTATTTCGTTTCTATAAAATAATTTAGAAAAGTTATGTTTAAAAACAAACTTAATTACAGTTAATTATATTCAAAATAAAGATGTATTTCATATTAACATATTAAATATAATTTCAATATTAAATCGAAACAGGACGTTACTTAAAAAAAATCGTACTAGAAAATATTCAGGAGTCACATTTTTATCTATTAAGTCTGGGTAGAAGATATTGAATTTATAGCCTTGTACGATTTTTGGTGGTGGATTGTCCATATCGTAATGAGTTTGATTATATTTGTTCCACTCAAAACCAGTATGTACTCTATTAAAGTAACGTGGTTTTCTCGGTCTGTATTTATCTGACCATAAATATATTTGAGCCTCAAGAGATGATTCAACACTAAATTGAGCTTCATCCAAGCCCATGTTTTTACTAACTTCTCTGCGCATTGCCTGTTCTTCTACAGTTAAAACATTTTGTATTTTATGACCAGTACTAACGACTTGATTCCTAGCAAATTCTAGACGTTGAGTATCTTCCTCTTCTAAAGTTATAATTGTTCCTGGTTCTAGTTCTGACTGCGGTATATACATGGGTGAATATGTTCCTAATTCGATATATTGTTCATCTCTAAAATAAATAATATAAATTCAATATTAATTGATTGTTTATCATTTATTAATGTGATTGACAAAATGTTATTTGAATCAAATGAAATCATTTGTGTATTTCAACATTAAATAATTCATTTAGTAAAAAACTTTTAAAAAATCATATAATGGTAGTATTTGTAAATCTAATTTATAATAAAATGGGTCTTACTCTGATTGATTTTCATCACTTCTTAAACAAGTTGCACTTGTAGATGGTTGTTGATCAGTTTGTACTTTAGTCTCATTAATAATTTGTGATTCGCATATTTCATTTTCTGTTTTTGCCACTCCTTGTTCAGCCATTAAAATGTTTAATTTCTTTTTTAAATTTTCTTGATGGCGATCCCTTAGTCGTGCTCTAGCCATATGTGCTATGGGTTTAGAACATTTTTTATCATTTTATTTCATAAAGATATTTCCTTAATTTTGTAATTTATTGTTTTACCTTTTAATTGAGAAAGTAAACTCTCCCAGTATCCAATATCAACACCTTCAGCTTTACCATTAATTTTTGATTCAATTCTTGATTGCAATGTTTCTAATTGAGTTGCAGATTTGCCTTTAAAAACTGCTGTTACATCTCTTGCTACAGACTCATGAATTCCTTCTCGTCTTCCAAGAGCTAAAATTATTAAATTTTCATGTTTAGACATTAGTATTTATTTAAAAATATTTTTAGATATGTACTTTTAAATAATAAAATATAAAATTTAATTTATATGTTAAATTAATTTTTAATAATTTACTTACCAACTTGATACTCGGTTTGTTGCATTTTTCTAAGTTTGTGAAGTTCATCTTCAACTATTATAGTTATATCATTCCAATAATCAAGATTTTTACCCCTTTCAAGTTCTTTATATACTTTAATATCAACAATAAGATCTTCTAAATCTTTTATGTGTAATCCCCTTAAATAGGTGTATGGTTCATGCATTTCAACTGCATCTACTTCATCTTCGGCACCAATATATTTAGCCAAAAGATCAATAGGTTTAGCTCTTCCATCTTGTATTCTAATACGAGATCTTAATCTAGCTTGTTCAAGATGAAACTGATCTTCTTGACGATGCCATTGTTCTAACTGTGCAGCCTCTTTACCTCTTTGCTGTAAAGCAGCTTCCTCTTCACGTTGTTGTCTTTGCAATTCTCGCTCTTGTCTACGCTTTTTTACTTTCTCTAATTCTCTCTTATTTTCTTCTTGTTTATATCTATTTCGCATTTCTATTTGTTCTCTACTAACTTCTAATAAACCTTCTTTTTCTAATTTCTTACCCCAAATAAAAGGTTGAAGTAAATGAGCATCACCAAAAGGATTGTCAGTATTTGTATAATGTAAATAATCATTATCCCAACCCATTCTTTCTTTGCGTTTACGTTCTTTTACTTCTTTTTTTTTCAATCTTCTTAGTCTCTTTTCTTCAGGAGTTTCTTTAGCTTTCATTAATTCCTTCAGATTTTTTTTTTCTTTCGCTTGTTTCAATCTTTGCTTATGCAACTTTTTTTGTAACTTAATAGATTTATTAGAAGAATTTGAAGATGATGAACAGGATGATGATCTGTATAATAAATGATTTATTATTAAAAATAAAAATAAATTAAATAATGAGACAGTAATATTTACCTTTTAGGTTTTTTATGGTTTAATAATGATCTAGGAAGTGACATTAATTGTTTTGGGTATTTTGATTTTTTTTTTTTCTTATTATTTTTATGTTTACAATTGTAAGAATATTCTAGTTTTTTGTCAATAGTTTTTTTTAAATGTTGACTTTTATCTTTGTCTCTATTCATATTTTATAAGTATTAAATATTACAAGTTTCTTGATTTATCGATATGAATTATAATACATATCAAAATATTTAGTTAAATAACTATGATTTGTGGAAAACTAATAAGCATTCTAAAAATAAACAAATTCATTTACATTATACAATTAGATATTATTATGTAAAATATTTGATCATTTATAATTTCAAATTTAACAATGAGATCAATTTAAATTTGTTTAAATATAATTTTATTTATATTCTTATACATAAATAATAATACTAAAAAAATGTATTTATATCAGTAAAAATAAAAATAAAAATAAACCAAATGAAATAATATGCTATCAAAATTTAAATGCCAAAAAATATTCTGATCAAAATATCTGAATCTTACTATTATTATTATTAAAAATATCCTAAAGCCTTTTTAAAATAAATAATAAAATTAATCCATAAATAGATAGGCGTTAATTACAAAAAGTACAAAGAACGGAATTATGTTATACCTAAGAATAAGAAACTAATAGAAAATATGGAAAAAAATTATTTTTGGCAATTTAATAAATAAAATGACAGGGTGGGCAATCATAATAACTATTTAATTACAAAATATGAGTAATTTACTCTTTTAATTACCGCACAAAAACACATTTAAGAAGATAAGCCAACTGATACTCATACTCAGTTTTTAATATCGAAATTTATATGCGAAATTGTAAAAATAATGTACGTAATTGGCCAACAAGTATGAAATACTTATATCTGTACTCAATGAAATATCGAAAATTGAATTATTTTGTCTGCGTGCTGAAAAAATTTAACGAGAACAATACAGGATAATGTATAATCAACTCGAAACTTCTTGTGGATTGTAATTTGTAACCTGAATTATATCCAAAAAAATATGTAGAATAAATTATAAAAATAAATAACAATGTAAATGCTACTACTTTTATGATATTCTCTGGTTTTTTAGAACATATTACAGTTGCATATAAAGATTAGAATGTGAAGGAAGTAAAATTTATATCTGTATAGGTTATGCTGGTGTTGAATTTTTTAAAATTTCTAAATTTGTTGTTGGCTATCAAATGTCATTAGCTAATGCCAAAATAACTATATGTAAACCATCGATAACATCATTTGCTTAAAGCGGAAAAAAAGTTTTTAATTTAGAAGAAACTCTGTTTAATGTAGTTGTAAGTGAATACGAATGTTCTAATTTAATAACGCTTATCTACTTACTTTTCTTTTATGTCATACAAGGCATGATAATAGGTATTCTAAAGTTTTTTTAATTTACGTCAGTAGTACAGAAAGTGATCGTAATAACCAATTGCTGCTAATCAGCTGTGCCATCATAGTCGGTTTTAATTTTAAAAGGCATTTCTAAGTTAACTACTCAGTAAAACATGCTCTTGTCACATTACTTTTTTATTAATATTTCTTATATTTATTATATGTTATTTCAAATTTTTTTTGTATTTTTAAAATTTTGTATCTTTTCAAAAGATATTGTATATAACATATTTTAGATTATTAAATTAGTTATGCTGAACACGAATATTAAAAAATTTAATATATTTTATATTTTTAATTAAAACAAATATATTTAATTTATTAAATAATTTATCTTATTAAAAAAAATAATAATATGAAAATACGAAATATTTAAAAATAAAAACTCAAATTTGTCACCACATTTTGTAAAAGTAGGTGGATTGTATTAAGTAGTTTTTAAGTAATTAATTTTATACTGTATATAAATATAATACGTTATTAATATTGTATTTCTGTATATTTTTGAATACTACTTTATATTTCAATACATATATTTTTCGTTAACAAAACAAATATATTTTAAATGTATTTAGTAAATATATCACCAATTAAATAATTAAGTAAATTAAAAATTGAAATAGAAAGAATATGACTAAAGGTGGGTCAGTATAATACGAAACAACTAGACCAATATAAATGTATACATTAGTTAATATTTTAGAAAGGCCGTACAAGACGAAAAAGCAAGAAAGAAAATTATCAGAAAATGGGATAATGACGCAATGACACTTGAAATTGGAATTCAGATTGATTGCTAACCTAATAGATGGTTGTACCATTTCAAAAATTAAATATACGGTGGCGTTTGAAAAGCTGCTTGATCGATAACGAAGAAACTTATATAAGAGCGAGAAAAAAAGAAAAAGTGAGAGAGAAAGAAGATATGCGCAGTCTCGCTGCAAAAGTTGGACTATGGTAGACAAACGGAAGGATCCTTCTATTCATCTCAGAATTCGCATTCCAGTATTTAGTGTAACTTCGCCTGCTGGCGGTTAATTAGTCTATGTTTCTCTGCTCTATTCGTGGAACTATCACGGTTATTGAGTGTATAAGAAATTATTACGGGCGCGTCATTGTTTCTCGAAAAAAATCGTATATTGGGGTAAGTCAAGGGCGATGTATGCATGAAATTCGTGGGTTTGCGAGACAGCCCCCATAAAAGCTGATTCCAGACGTTAAAAGACAGCGGAAACCGCGCGCATCAAATAAGGGCCTGAGAGTTGGCCTACTATAGACATGCGCAGAAATGTGAAAATAGTGCTACTGTTTTCGTGCGTTTGGATGTCTGGTTTTGTTTATTATTATCACAGCATCAAAGACAATAAGGTAAGGGTGTCACGTAATTGCCAGCGAGGAGTGGAGTGAAGAGATAAATGTATTTAAGGTCTTGAGGGTCAAACTTTTATTTAAAACTGAAACAGCTGGCATTATTTCCAAACTTATTTGAATACTTGCTTTTTGTTAGGGTCCAAGCTTAGTCAGTAGAATACTGCAATTATCTAATAGTTTTCTCATTCACTCTAAAGTTATTTTCTTTTATAAGACAATATGAAAATTATTACATTTTTTACAAATTAGTTTCGAGTTAATTAATAATGTTCGTTTATTTTTTTTTCAAAATAATATTAATTTAAAAATTATTATTGAAATACATACTGATAACTTCGTTTAATGATAAATATGTTTTTGAAAATCCATGTAAAAGGCATTAAAATAAAATTATTATTTATTTATTTTTATTATAATTTATTGAAATAATTATGTATATGATAAACTTACATAATTTATTTCTTAATATAGGGTAATATTCCATTTAAACCTATTAAATCTATTAAATCTTTATTATAATATTTTAAATAACATTTTAAACTGTATGTTTCAATTATATTATTATTAAAAATATAATAAATACAATGCTATTGTACTTTATAAATTATTTAATAAGTTTTAACTTCCATATTTGACGTAAGAATATAGTTTTATTTTAATGTTTCTTCAAAATCAGATTTTTCAATTAAAATTTTAAATTGAATCATACATATTTTATATAATGAAATTAAAATATGATTGTCAAGTTATCAAACTTAGAACGACAACAAATTTTAATAACATGTTAAATTTTATAATGGAAACAATATGAAATAAAATTTAAATAAGTATGAAGAATACAGGCTTAACAGTCATCTAATGTTTTATTCTCTGCTAAATAAGAAATTAATTATAATAGTCCAACAGGTTTATATTATTAATTCTTAAGACTTGTTCTAAATGAATGATTAATGTATTCTTTTGCAAAAATCAATGACTAATATCTAGTAAAAATTTGGATTATACAAATAAATTCCTGCCCATATTATTTTTGAGATTTAGGATATTTAAATTTGTTAAACTCTTTGGTTGTTACATGGTATTAGATGGCATGAATGAATGTTCGTATAATGATAGATGAATATATATATATATATATATATATATATATACATTTAGTTGTATGTAATAATGCGAACATTCACGGTAGGTAAATTTTATGCAATGCAATAATATTAATCGTTCGATTATTTTGTTAAAATACTAATGAAAGAGGAAAGCAAAACTAGGTTGGTTTTCTTATGATACTTGAAGTTCAAGTTATAAATTCAGATTACACAAATTTAGTTTTATTGTTGATATGTAGTATTTATTTAATTATGTATGTGATTCGATTATTATTTATGAAAAAATATTTTACTGTATATCTATAATGTTTTAAAGACAAGATATTGATTATTGTTACAATTATTAAACCAATCAATATTTCAAATTATATTTTAAGTTTAATATTATAATAAAATATTTATTATGATATCTTATGATTATTTCTATTCTTCACAAGTATATTATTTATAAACAACAATCTTCTATTACTATATTATAACTACTAACTATTTATATATAATTTCTTAAAATAAATAATTATTAGTAAACAAATTTTTTACATAAAACATTTTTTTGTTAAAATAAAAATTTCAAGTTATTTGTAATTTTATAAAGTATTTTAGAAAATTTTGTATAGAGTAAGAATATAATGCAATAGTAGAAAAATTTATGTTTTAATCAATTATTATATTTAATATAGCTTTTTATAATATTTCTATTATATTTAATATTATTTTTAATATAGGTAATATTAATTTTTATATATATAAAAATTCTATAACATTTATTTGTATTTATAACAAAAATTAATTTACCCTTTAATATTACATAAATAACAATGTACTCTATAATCTACTGTATCATACTATAATATAATGTTCGTAATATACTGAATAAATATGAACATTTTATAAATTAATATATGTATCCCCTACATATATTTTTATGTAACATATGTTTGATCCTACCAACAACATTTTTAATTAGTAATGTAGAAGGTATGAAAATTTTGGTTTCGTAAATTTCAGATTAATTTGACAAATTATAATTAATTTTATGTTTTCAATCGACTATCTCTATATTTTTTCTGCATCTTGATTTATTAACTAGACTCATTATCTGTGCGAAATTAACATTTGTGCATCCACACATATGTAAATACGTGCTACGCAGGACCATAAGTGCTACATTTGCTTGTATATTGTAACTGTGAGAAAATCATATCTACAATCTATGAAATCACATAATCACGATATTTATAAAAAAAGTTACTGAAATATGATACAAAAAGTAATTTTTATGATTTTATAGAAAATATTGGGAAGCAAAAACACGTAGATTAATATACAGATCCATATTAATACATTTAAAATTAAATAAAATACGCCTAATGCAAATGATTCAATTAATATCAAGAAGATATATAATAAAGTATTAAGCAGTAAATTTCAAAATCTGAATATAAATATATGGATGAATTATGGACATTATATTTTATTTTAATTATATTTTCTTTCCTAAAGATTACATGATATCGCAAAAGAATAATCGGGTAGCAGAAAATGTAAATATTCATATTTTTATGAAGGTTTTACAAAAATATTTCCTTATCTCATATAATTTATTTTTAAAAAAGAATAGATTGCATTGAACATTATTAAAAATAATTTTAATTACTTTAAATTAACCACAAACTATTACAGTTTTTAATTATAAAAAGGGAATAGTTATTTCAATAAAGTTATTAAATCTCTCCATACTGTTTAACATTATACTTCGGCAAAATATAATTATTTAATACAACAGTTTGTAAGTATAATATAAAAAGTTAAAAATTTTGTATATACTATAGTTATTGAAAGCAAAAACTTACTATTACGTTATTTGTGATTTCGTCTTATTTTTGTATTATATATATATTTTTATTTATTTGTTTATTTCGTGTTTTAATATTATTAATTTTTGTTATATTAATGATTAATACATTATATATTATTGATCAATGCATATTATAGTGTAAAAGTAATAAATTAATAACGTTTAGTTTCTTAATTTATGATATTTAGTTATTAAATTTGTATTTCGAACAATTTAAAATTTATACTGTAGTATATCTAAAGAATATTTTAATTAAACTTTCATATATATTTATTTCTTTTCTCTCCCGTATATAAAAAATTATAAAACAATTTTTAAACAGTAGTCATCAATTAAATTATTTTAATATACGTATTTCTAAATATATGTAATATATTTTATAAATTTAGAAATTCTAATATTCACTACAATTTGCTAAGATTGATATTTGATTTAATTTAAGAATTCTATTGAATTAGATATTAACTAATTAATTCATTGAATTTCAAAGAACAAATTTTTTTTTAATTAAATTATAGATGGAATAAAATAATTTACCGATAAACATTTGAAATGTAAAAGAAAATTTGTTTCATAATAAATCATTTTATACATAATCATTATATATTATGAGTTTGTAGCTATTTCACTTATACTTAAATGATGTTTCTATTATCTATTAAAAATTACTAATAAACTACAATTATGTTGGAAATTTAGATCAAATATATTTTAATGAAATATTTATTATTGTGTGAGTTTTGTAAAGAAAATTGTATTATATGAATTCAATTATGAATAGATTATTAAGCAAATGTAAAAGAAATTGAATGCCAATCACACATAAAAATGTAAATAAATACTATAAATAAAACTATTTTATCAAAATAAACATTATTTTTATTAACAAGATAATATAGTTTATTTTAGCTTGATTTTGCGAATAATTTCTTTATATATTTGATTATAGATTTGATTAATAATTTGATTATATGAAATAGATTTATAAATTTTGAATTATTTTAAAGTTTTTATCGGTCAACGTAAATATGAATATGTGAATTCGATTAAACTGTTAATAAAACTTGTTAATAAAATTTGTTTATTTAACTTGTTAAGTAGTACGGGCTTCGGCTAAGCTTTTATTGATTGTCATTTGTTGATCGACATTCAAAATTGAACTTGATATTATAACTTTTATTCATTTTGTTATTATATTGAAAAGTCGTTAAAAAATGGTTAGAATAAATTTTTTCGTGCATTATATATTCTCAGTAATTTGGTTGTACAATTATACATTTCATTTCATTTAATTACTAGCTAAATTGTTAAGATATTAATATGGATTGTAGTACATATTTGAAGTATTATTGAATTTGTATATTAAGGTACTAATACCGATACGCAAGTAATAGTTAAGTAAGACTTAATATTATGATTTTATAGATAGCTGAAAAATGATAATTGATATTTAATTATAATATTATATTTATTATTAAAATTATAAGTACTGTAGAAAACCGCTTGATTTTAACAAAAGATTAATTGAATTAAAAATTGTATTTATGAACTAACTCTAATTACTCTAATTACCACAGTTGCCGATTAAAAAGTAAAAATTTTTCTTATATAGACCTTATAGTCTAATATTAACTATTTTAGGTTGGCTATTGTATTTTCTTAATTCAGTTTATAAATTTAAATTATCAGTTAAAATTATCCAACATTTAATATCTAGTTTTTGTTGTATTTAGAATAAAACTAGTTTTGATTTTTTTTTTAATCTAAAGTATTTAATTCATTTTTATATCATGATCGCTAATGCTAAAATTTAACTTTAAACAATTTTTCTAGCCTCATAATTTTGTGTATTAATTTATATTTATACATATCTAAGTAATTACAATTATTATATGTCAAATGACTACGTATTCCATGAAGACCGTTATACATTAATCAAATACAAATTTCCTTATCTTTTTGTAAATTTATTAATGTTATGTTAATATAAATTTATTTATTATTATTGAAAATATACTTAAATATATTCATTG